ATTATATCTACTTGAACAAAACCCTACCACACTGTCTTGCTTTTTTCATGTTGGCTTGAAGGAATGCAAGAAATATTTAAAATATCAATCTTTATTTTTCTGTCACATGATACATCTAAGCTCTGTTTTTTTTTACCCTTAAAGGATTTTCTGATATCAAAAAATAATCTGCTGAAGTTTCCAACCATTTAGGAGTTTAAGCAGTTAATTATCCATTTTGCATTCATATTATTTTTGCCATAAGATGTTCTTCTAGATGATTTTACAATATTTGGTAATAAGTCTTAGAATTTACAGACACCTGAAATTTCCAGTTCATAGACAGAAAAAAAATTAATGCTTAAAGAAATAGTAGAAAAAAAAAAAAGGAATGAAAAACTATATATAAGTTATAAAAAGCTTCACAAAAAAAACACACACAAATAAAAACTGAAGATTAAATAAGTGTGATTGTATTAGTCCTGTAAGACTTAGGAGCACAGTAAAACAGAATACTGGAGAGGGAAGAAATAGACAAAAATGAAAATAATTCAGCTCAAATCATTCTTAAACTTGTGATTTCTGTCTATATGTCAGAGTTTATGATGTCAATCTTCAAATAAAAATATATAAGCTATGATAATATTCATTAGTAATTTATTCCAAAGTGTAACATACTGTTTTCATTGTTTTGTTTTTGTGGGGTTTAGTTGTGACTTGTCCACTTCTATGCACATCAATTTTACCAAGGGGTGCATTCCTTTCAGAGGCTTTAGCTTAGCCTGTATTGCTGAAATCACTATACAGTAAATCTGTTTAAAAGCAAAACTTCTAATTGAACAACTGGGAAATGCCATTTACAAAAAAAACTATTTATTGTTTTGAAAGAATGATAACATAGACATTCAGTTTACTTTTGTTTCTATGGTAATAAATAGCTCCTAACTCAAAAGCAAAAGGGATGGAATGATAGATTAGTGCCATCACTGAAAGTGTGTAATATTGAAAACAATAAACCACATGCCTAATGATAGTTGAATGTTCCTAGAGTATCTGTAGTTGTTTTACATGGAAGACTAACAGAGTCTAAGGACTTATAAGGCTAAAAATAAGGTTTTGATAACTGCTGTGAGCAAAACACAGATAGACCATTATGTAAATTTGTGCTTAATATCCAACAAAGAAACAAAACAAGCTAAGGGACTGGAATTTGAAATGATATAATTATTATTATAAAGTATAACTTTAGATAAAATTCAACGAAAAGCAGTCCTGGTGCCTAATTTTTCACTTAAATATGATATGGACATTTGAGTTTGATTAATGACAAATCTTCATCTCTCAAGAATAAGACTTAACTGTGTTGAGAAGGGTCAAATTTTAACAGGTGCCGTCACTTTGCTAGAGGTATCTCAGGGGTACAAACTTTCATCCATTTGCCATTTTAGCTGTGGCATAGTGGCTCATCGAATGGCTCTGAGTTTTTTTTTCAAGTACAAACTTTTAGCTAATAGCTCTGTCATCTCTTGATCAATTTGAGATCTAATTCGTTTGATGTATTTGACCTGCCCAAGGTCTCATAGATAAATTTACTATAATCCTGCCTGAAATAATGCAGCATACAAATAATAGTTCTTCTGATGATTTTTGATATTGAATGAAAGCCTCATGGGTAATGATTTGAAGAAAATGTAAATCTGAAAATCTATTTTTACATGCACTTGACTTATATTATGTTATAAACAAATTAAAATGAATTGAAAGAGAAACACCTACTTTACCCTTCATTAGTGGCAATTACCACTTAAAAGTAAAAGGAAAAAAAATGTTCACTATAACCATTTCTTTTGAGTATTTTGAGTGCTTCAGTGTTGGTCACATCCTCTTTTGTAATTAGCAAGTTTACAGGAAAAGTGTCTAGGAATCTGCATGTCCTCAGACTATGGCTGGGTGAGTGGACCACAGTTTCTGACCTTCATCTACTGGGACACTTCTTTTGCATATAATGTATAGCAATGCTACTACAACATTAGAAAAATTATCATTAAAGTAGATTTGTGAAAATTCTGCAGTAATACACTAGCTGTACTTACTCGTGTCTATGTATGCCAACAAAGTAAAAATACTAACTCTTACATTTTAGTCAAAAGCTTTATCACAAAGAAATTTATTTAATGCTTTATATAGTATATACAATTTTTTCTTCCTTTCCCAGGAGGAAACCCAGCCTGAACCCTCCATATTAAAGGATAAAGAGAATGAACCAATAGTGGTCACAGATAAAGAACATAAACCTTCTGAACATCCAAATGAAGAAAAACCATCTTTGTATCCAGAGCTTATTTCAATTGACCCCTAAAAATCAGATCTGAGTTGTGAAATTCGAGGAAAAACTTACAGGATGTTTTTATCAAAATTTTATTCCACTTTTATAGAACATATATATACATTGTATTTGGGGGGGGGGGGGATTGCTGTCAGTGGCTTTTGAAGTGACATTGTTCAACATTTATGCCTTTGGTATAGTGCAGCTATCATTTATGTACTGAAGTATTCCATTACAATATTAAGTAATAGATATTAACTTTAAAGAAAGAGTGTTCTTGAAAATGTGAATTACACAATGACATTATGCACATTCCTGTTTTTTTTTATAGTGATCTTGGTTGTAGGGTCTTTTCATATATAAGGTTTTATTATCAGTGTGACTTTCAATATGCTTACTTGTATGTATGTGTTTATTGGGAACTTTGCAAATTCCAAATAATTTCTATCTAAAACTTGATTATTTCAAGAATGATCCTTGAAGTAGCTTTTATGTAATATAAAACAATAAAAAAGGAGACAGTGTTATACCACATGAATTAAAAACATTGAGATTAACATGACAGCTCCAGTTTGCCATGATTAGGCTTTTGATCACATGATTTTGGTATTTTTTCATAATTTTTAGGAATAGTACTGAAATTTCACAAATGTTATCACTATAAAATTTTATTAAGAAAGGAATATAAACTTTTTAAATGTTTTAACAGTAATATTAAAATGTGAAAAGTGAAACAATTGTTTTCTTATGAGTTATTTTATTTTACTACATGAATGTTTCAACCAATAAGATAAATTTTTCTCTTTGGTATTAGCTTATCTTTTTCACCTGGTTAATACTGATGAGAAATAAAACCTCAGTTGTCTTGCACTTGAATATTTATGTTGTGCATAAACTTTTGCCTGTTAGTTCTTAAACTGTGAGCAATAACTTCTATTAATAACAGAAATGTATATTTACATTTTAAATCTGTTTAAAAAAAAATCTACTTAAAACATTTTTCCATTGCATTTGGTAGAAAGAAATATTCCATGCGAGACTTGCCTGTGTTATTTTTTGCTATCATGATGAAAGATCTGATTTTTCTATATATTTTATCACAAAAGCTGTTATCTAGGTTGAACAGTAACACAACTATTGATACTTAAGTAACTTTGTTTATACATACATGTATATGTGTATGCACCTCTGCAATCTGTGGATCACAAATGTTAAAACAATTTTTTTATACTAATGATTGGTCTTTTTTTTAAGCTTTCATCCAGCTGAATTTATTCTATTCAATACATGCCAATAAGAGGAATGTGTGTTTTTGTGTCTATTGACTGAACACACAAACATTGTGTTTTACCTTGGACTAGCCTTGTGTAAGCTGGAAAAAATTTGCCATAAATTGTATACATTTACGTACAATGTTTTATATGTGAATAAGATAGCAACACATTTTGTTTCCTGTGGTCATGCTTAAGAAGTTTAAATATTATCACACACACAGAGTAAGTTTTATAGATATATTTTTTGTGGTAATAAGAATAGTGGCACTTGCATATTCTTTTTGCTCTCTTGTAAAAGTTTAAATTTTGGTGCTACTGTGACATGTCCTATTATACATTCCTTAGTGATGCGACTAATTGGAATATTGTTTGTACCAGAGAATGGAACAAACTGTGTGCTACTGACTTTTTTGTTTGTGTAATTTAGAAATTAACTTGATTTTAAATGACATTAAGATGAAATATATAAACAGGTTTGTTAAGTTGCACTATGTTCATGACATCATGTTATATCATTTTTATAAATAATGTTTTAATTATATACTTTACAAACTGGTCTGATTCAGAAACCTAGCAGTAAGAACATCTGTGTCCAAGAGGTTACAATTATTGTAGTTACTTTTTGTTTGTTTTATTACTATGTAGATTTTACTTCAATAGTTTTAAAAAGCAGCTTTTGCTTTAGACAGTTGCAGAGAAATTTTATACTATTAATTCCTTTGGATTATTTGAGTAATGTATAATATTCATGTGTATTAGAATATGATGTATTTTTTTCCTCTTGGTCTAGAATAGAATTGTTTATTAATAATCTTCATATTTACTTTTAGTGTTTTTAAGGTGTATGTAGTTTTGTCCATTTTTTGAAGTATTTTTGGTTGTTGCTTATATATGTATGTAACAATACACATGCCTAAAGGCAGTCTCATTTAAAGCATTTTTTATAGTCTACAAAATTATTTTGTTTATATAATTATTTAAAAGGTGTGAAGATCTTACTTTAATTTCTTTTTATGTAGATCGTTCAGATTCCTTTTTTTTTGTGTGTGTGTGTGTGAGCTAGACTGTATCTCATAAAGCTTGTTTAATAAACGTTTTACAGAATAAAATTATCATATTTGACATCCATGATGTTCCAGTACTATAAATATTTATAATTATTTTGTCCCTGATCCCTAAACTTGCAGTTTTATGATTTTTCTCCATATTCCTAGAAAATAAATGTTAATCATCTCAATCAGAATAGTAATAAAGAAACAAAGTTAAATGATTTGTACCACCAAATTTAATGGGAACTTTAATAAAAAATTATGGGTAAGGATAACAGTAAGCACATAAGTGTTTAGTATGAAATTAGTCAGTCAATACCAATTATTCAGCATGAAAGTATAATGCTAAAAGCAAGGATGAAGCTTAAATAAGACCCAAATGTTGAAATAGTGTAATACATGAACAAGAATGACTGTATGGACATAAAAACTAATATGAAGGTATTGAGGGGTTGTGTTTGTTCAGTATATTTCTAGGGTGAGTGTGGGTGAAATAGGCCCATCACAAGTTATGAAGACATAAAAAGTTTTTCTCTGAAAAAATATAATTTTTTCTTGTGCAAATATATTGTTTTGATATATTTTAATGTTCAAGTTTGAATTTTTTAACATATTGTACAAATTGGATGGTGAATATAGCAACATGAAGGTGTTTCTCACAAAATAGCTTGGGAATCCCATTTTGAAAGCCCTTTATGAAACCATGAATAAGCAAAGGATGTCTACTTTCTACATTTCATTGGTAATAGTAACACTTATTATAGTTCTTACATTTTATGAGGATGTAATTAAGTATAAAAACTGTTTAAATGTCTTGAACTAGAGATGATGATGAAACTAAGTAGAAGAATTAAGTATGAAGTTGTGGTCTATTTAAGAGTGATAATTCATGTGATGTATCTTGAACAGTTGCTTTTATATCTGTGTATCAAGTTAAGGAATGTTGCATCTAACAGATATAAGTGTAATGAATTTAGGCATCTTATAATAACCAACTGAAATATAGGATGTTTCAGCTTTAACTGGCTTATAACTGTGAGAGTCAATCTTGTTATTTAGTTAAAGGTAGCAATATAGGCAGTGGGCATTACTGAGTGGTTGCCCCTCCCCCTGATAAGTAGCTCTACATTAGGGCTGGCTGTGCTTAAACCTTAGGGATCTTGGACCTGGCCATTTAACCCATTTGTAGTATAAGGTGCCATTCAAACTGAAAGTACCACACCACTAGATTAATGCATGTATTATAAATTAATGTTTTTGTATCTTAGTATGTAATCTTATTAAAATGAAAAATGTAATCATAATGCAAAATGTATTTTACTTGCTTTTGTTAGAAATTACAGATCTTCAACACCACAGTATTTTTTCCATTTGTGAACTATTTTATTTTGTTTTTGATTAAAAGTTTTCCATTTATTGGACATGTTTTTTGTGGATTTTGCAGCTTTATTTGTTATTTGTAACTGCTAAGTATGTTTGTAAACTTTTTTGTGAAATTCTGTTTATATGTGAAAGTTGAAATGTAGAAAATAAATTATATTTGTGACATTTTTTTTATGTTTCAGGATTATTTATTATAGTAAATATGAATATATTTTTTCTGGTGAACTAAATATTCCTTATGTAACAATTGTAAGCTACATGGTATAAAACACTTCCAACTGACCAAGTTCACATTATTGTTGACCAATTTTAATTTAGTTTTATAATAATTTATTCCACAAAACCAGTCTATTACATTATGAACATTCAAAATGCATTGTTTTACATTTTCTTCCTTTTTATTCCCAAGCTTAACGTGAATTGTTTTGTTGGTAACATTATAGACCAACATTACAAATTATATCAAAGATAATTGTACTACATGGCACACATTCCATTATAATTGCTTAAAGAGAAACATGTCTCCGCACACTATGAGCATAACTTAAAATGAACTGCATTATTTTTGTTAACAAAACTATTTGATTGATAACCATGACATGGATTACAACACAACAAGAGTGTTATTAACTTTATTGTACAATATCCCAGGTCAGAAGCATAGAAATGTTGATATTCGGGTAAGCACGTTAGTTTATTGAACACATGCAGCAGGTGAAGTCATTGAAGTAGCAGTGACAATTCTTATTTGAATGGATGCCACAAATTACTGTCAGGATATAGATAAAGTTAGATCCCACTTGCCATATAGCACGATAACGTCTTTCCCGTCACAAATTGGCAAACATAGTGCTAACATACGCAATTTCTTGAATTTGTATAGTCAGTTGTGAGTGCAGGATAGCATGGTGTACCATTATTATGAACCATCAAGACGTGATAGCCAACTTTTGATGTGGTTAGTGATCTTCAGAGGCCCAAGACAGAAAGTACTTCAAACTTTGCATAATGTAAGGACAGAAGGGTACCAGAAAGTGTTAAGTGCTATTACACATGAGAAAAAGGTTTTTCTGGTAGTATGTCTTGGCATGGTGTAGAGATTTTAACTTAAAACATTCCTCATTCAGTAATGGGGTCTCTACACATGCGGGTCCTCTACTTTCACATAGTCACTGCGATGTATAAGTTACCCAGGATGTATTCTTTTACATTCCACAGATTTACCAACATTCCTCATTCAATAATGGGGTCCTCTACTTGCACATAGTCACTGGCAATGTATAAGTTACCCAGGATGTATTATTTTACATTCCACAGATTTACCAACATTCCTCATTCAATAATGGGGTCCTCTACTTTCACATAGTCACTGGCGATGTATAAGTTACCCAGGATGTATTCTTTTACATTCCACTGATTTACCAACATTCCTCATTCAATAATGGGGTCTCTGCACATGCAGGTCCTATACTTTCACATAGTCACTGACGATGTATAAGTTACCCAGGATGTATTCTTTTACATTCCACTGATTTACCTAGATTCATTAAATATCCCACTTAGCCTCCAGGATCGAATTCAAAAATTAGCCAAAAAATACCATCGGATACCCAGCACAAGAAGCACACTGACGCAATAATTTCTAATTTCCGCAGCAACACCTGATATGTGGCGGACCCACCAGTCTCCATATTATATCTGTAATCATTAACATGTAGTGTATTAGTCATTTATGTTTCTTGTTTCAGACTTACATCTCAGGCATTATCCGGATAGAATATTCGGCGTCCAGGTAGTGAAAGTGGGTTTTTCTCGGGATACTCTCGTTTACCTCCCACAACAAATTTCTGGGTATATGATCTATACTACTTTGTGCTATATGACTATATGTACTATATGACTTTGTGCTACTCCCCAGCAGCGAGCTGCCTTCGGTTGATTTTGGTTTTTGTTTGCCTGACCTAAACTGGTTATTTAAGCTAGTATCAATATTTTTTGCACGCAGCAATTTCATACAAGATCTAGTCAAGTGCGGGGGTGAAG